CCCCCCACTCCCCCTCTGAACTTGGTCTGCAGACTACATCGAACTGCATTCCTTTAGTGAGTGTGAATTTATACCAGTGCTTGCCTTAGGGAGTCCTTACCTTCTTTGAAAATAGGGAAATGTCTTTGTCCTTACCCCATCAAGCGCTTTATTCTTTTTTCCCCTACAGGATGTGTGTGCTTACTAGAGAGAGAGAGAGAGGGAAAGCGAGGAAGAGGAAGGAGTGACAGCCACATAGCAACCCCTCCCCTTCATTCCCCTCTCGGGATTTTAACCCTGCACTCACACATGCCCAGCGCAATTTTCAAGCTGCCAAGTTCAGGACTCAAATGTGGCATTAGCACCTTAACCAGCATGCCACCTGCTGGCCTTCTTCACATCCCCTTTTGTTGGTGAAAATGCCGAGGCTCAGAGAATGACCTCGCGCCCACTCTGACCCACATGCAGAAAGGCGAGGATGGCGCTGCCCCCCCCCACCTGCTGCACTGAGGCTGGGCCTCCAAGGTGCTCGCCGCTCCCTGTTTGCCGCTCGCTGCTCCTTTAGCAGAGGTCTGAGGTGCTCGCTGCTCCCTGCTCGCTGCTCCCGCTCCCTCCGCAGGGGTCCGAGGTGCTCACCGCTCGCTGCTCCTTCCACAGAGGTGCTCACAGCACCCACGGCCGGTTCCAGTCTCCGGAGCATCTCCACATCAACTCCACTCAGTGTCTGCACGTGCACTGCCGCGGCCTGGAGACCAGCCTGGCCGAGTGTGCTTTTACTAGGAGAGCAGCGACGGGCTACCAGGGCCTGGCCGGCGTGGTGTGCTACACAGGCAGTGCAGGTGCAGGTGCAGGTGCAGGTGCAGGTGGGTGACGTGTCGCCTGCAGCCCCCTTCCAGGCCACTTACTCCCGCCATGCCGCGCTGAACAGACGTGTGGTCTCTGAGCCTAAGCAGGTGCTGCTCCCTGTCCACCTCTGCCCCTCCAGCGTTGCTGTCTGGCACTTGTGCCGGCAGGACGCAGGCCCCACTTCCCTTCGTGGGGATGGCGGCTGCTATGGAAAACCAAGTTCCTCAGGAGCGAGAAGGGGCCTCAGTGTGCCCCTGGAAGGGTCGGCCCACACTGTTCCACAGGGCTAAGTGACTGCACTGGCCCTTCCCTTCCCAGACACCCCTCCTTGTCCTTCCGTTATGCCGCACTGGGGGGCAGAGCGAAACCCCCCCAGCAGGACCGGGCCTCCACCTCCTCTCCTCACCCGTTCTCCCTGGGCGAGGCTCCTGGACATGTTCCTGTGGGCCACGGGCTGGGACGCAAACCTGGCTCGCCTGGGGACCCAGGTTCCGGCCAGCCTTACTGCCGTGCTCCGGGCCAGCCCCAGCACTTTGGCAGAAAGTGCATTTGCCTGTTCCTGCCGGAGCCCGCCAGAGCCGGCACATCACATCGGCGGCCTTGGCCACCCGCATGGCAGGGAGGCATTGGGACAGGGCTCAGAGGCCCGCATGCATGGGTCCCACGTCACAGAGCATCGTTGCCACCGTGCCACCGGCCGACCTGCCACTGCCTCTTGGCCCCTCCAGCCTGACATGGGGACAATTTAGCCATACTGGGGTGTCAACGGCCAGCACAGCCTTCTGCTCCCAGTGCTGAGTGGAAGCCCCTCTGGGTGGGAGAGGCGCCCTCGTGGCAGGCCTGGAAGTGGGCAGGGCTGAGGCAGGAGCCCTAGGCAAGGCTCAGAACCCGGGCAGCGGGTGGGGCTCCCGTTCCCGTCTGGGCCAGCACGACTGCCGCCAGAAGTACCGCCTTTCAGAAAGAACCAGCTAGCACTGGTTTCCTGCTCGTCGGAACGCCAGTACACCCCGCCCCATTGCTTTTGAGGTCCGACTTTAATCGCCCCGTTATCCCTGAGACGTGGTAGGGATCTCCTGCCTCAATTCCACACGTGACTTCCACCAATTCACTCCTCCTTCAGAGTCTCGAGCGAACGCGTCCTATCCGTGTGTGAACGGGAAGCACATCGCTCAGGAGAAGGCCTGTGACGGCGTGGACGACTGTGGGGACCAAAGTGATGAGCTGTGCTGTAAAGGTAGCCGCCAGCCGGGCCTGCCCCGTCCTTCTCCAGACCCACAGCAGACCCGCCTCGCCCAGTCGCTCGAGGTGGGCCACAGTCTCCCATCGCGTTTGCCCAGGGTGCCAGCGCACAGGCTTCCACTGCAAGTCGGGCGTGTGCATCCCGCGCGAGCACAGGTGCAACGGTGAGGTGGACTGCATCACGGGGAATGACGAGGTGGGGTGCCAAGGTGAGCAGGGCGCCGCGACTTCTCCGGGACCGAGGGCTGGGGCCCTGAGACCTGGCTCGGGTCAGCTGTGACCCCTGGCAGTTCCGTGTAGTGGGAGGAATGCTGCTGAGGGCACGGAAGGACGGTGTGATGGTTACCTCCTCGCCTGCACCCGCTCAGGAGGCGGTGCGATTTCAGAACTTTCCGCTTCCAAGCGTCTCACAAACACAGGCACAGAGACAGACCCATGCAGTGGGCCCTGTACATCCCCGGGGCCTTGCCAGCCCTCGTCGCTCTCCCAGCTAGTTGTTGGAGTATTTTAAGGCAAATTTTAGACATCATGTCACTTTATCTAGATGCATCTCTAGTGTGAACACTGCGTATTAATATATATTTATAGTGCATGTATATACTTACAGTGCATAAAGGCTTCATATACTTATATCGTGTTTTTATAATACATGTATAGATCATCCTCTCATTAGTATAACTCAGTAATCCCAACGTCATTTAATGACAGTCATGCTCACATTCTCGCAACTGTCTCAAACATGTTTTCAAGTAAAGGTGTTCAGATCAAGATCCAAAATACTTCGAGTGGCGCGTTTGCTGTGAAGTCCTCAAGTCTGTTCATCCTTTCTGAGTTTCCTCCCCGCCTTCCCACTCAAACTTACTCATGCTGTTGATTGTCTTTCTTAAAAGAATTATTTATTTATTTCATTCTATTTGTTATTTTTATTTTTTAGTTTGACCAGACAGAGACAGAAAGGGAGGGAGAAAGGGAGAGTGAGAAAGCCAGCCACCAGGTCCAGGGCTCAAACTGCACTCGGCCATGTGGGAATCCGGCACCCTTAACCACCACCACACCTGCCAGCCTCTTGATTTTCTTTTCTAAGAGGAAAAACGAGATGTTCCAAGATCTGGATTTATAAGATTTGGTTATCAGGTATTAAAGAATACACTTTTAGGGTTTCAAATCATTTCATCCCTCTTTCTTTTTCTTTTCTTCTTTTTTTTTTTTTTTTTTTGTTAAGGGAGATTTTTTTTTTTTTTGGAGAGATTTTCACTGTAGGGCGCGTGCGCTCGCCAGACAGACAGAGAGAGACATAGAGACAGAAAGCGAGAAATCACCCCCCAGGGGGGATGGTCACGCCGCAATCCCTTCTCCTCCATTCTCCTCTCGGGATCTTGGGCACGCATGCACACGCGCCCGAGAGAGATTTTTGCTATTGTGTGTGTGCACGCTCACCAGAGAGACAGAAAACATGAAATCACCTCCCTCCCCACAGGGGAATGGGCACACTGCAATCCCTCCTCCTCCATTCTCCTCTCGGGATTTTGGGCACACGCATACACACCAGGTGTGAGTTTTAAGCTACAGGGTATGAGACTAGAACCACTGTAGACTGTGGGAGTCCAGTGACGTAACCGTTATGCCATCTGCTGGTCCCAAATCATTTCGTTCCTTTTAGGGTATTAAGCAGTTGGGGAAAAGTGGTTTTATGGTCATGAAGCTCAGCTCCATCTTCGGTGAAGAATGCTTTCTCAGGCAAGACAGTGCAACATGGCTTCTACCAGTGAAGGCCTATGGTTCGATCTCTGAGCTTCAGCATAATAGTTGGGATTTTGTCTTCTCTCCCTCCTTTTCTTTCCCCTCCTCATTTCTCAATTTAAAATTCTTTTCAAGTTTAACATCAAGAAATACAAATGTTGGGGCCAGCAGGTGGTATGGTGGTTAAAGGCACTGGACTCCCACATGGCTGACCATGGTTCGAGTCCCAGACCTAGCAGCTTGCTTTCTTACTTCTCCCCTTCTCTACCTCTACTGGGTAAATTAAATAATAATAACAATAATAATTAATAAATAGATTATTTTTAAAAGAAATATAAATTGTTAGTTTCTTAGGAAAAAATTCTACTACAAAGAAGTAACTACAACATAAAGCTTATTTTCACATCAGTTTCTTCAGTCTGTATCAGAAACCCATGCAGCCAGCTTCCATTGCTACTTCAGCCCACCCTTCTCCAGAATGCCCTCTGCCCGTCGGAGTTCAGTGTCGGCCCTGGTTTTCCCCTCAGCCCAGGGGGCAAGAGCAAAGAAGCGAAACAGAAATGTTAGTGTCTATCCACTGACCTCCACTTCAGATGGCGGGTCAGAGCCGCTAAACCAAGGCATATCTGGGTTATATTTAACTGCATATTCTGTAAACCCTCCTTTCATTAATATAGAATTGAAATAATTCAAGGGGCCAGCAGCTGGCGTGGTGGCTAAGGCACCAGATTCCCACATGGCCAACCGCAGTTCGAGTCCCACATATGGCGGCTTGGAGATCATGCCTGGCGTGTGCACGAGCTCCAACTCCTGACGGGGGTGGGGGAGAAGGGGCTGGCCGGCCCCGGGGCGATTTCTCGGGTTCTTTATCTGTCTCTCTCTGGTGAGCACACACACCCTATGGCAAAAACCTAAAAAACAAAAATAGTAATAATAATTGGAAACATTGTGTTACTGAACAGAAATTTTGCTGTTGATGTGTTCAGATGTATCTAAAGTTTAAGCCACAGTGATTTCTTTGCTGTGGTGAAGTCAGCGTGATTTTCAATGTAGCTGAAACACTCATGCGGGAGGAGGACATGCTATGGCTCGCGCTTATCTTTTGCAGTTAGTATGCTTTACTGCGATTTGTTTCGCCTTTCTGAAGTAGTAACGATTTCATTTGTTTTACTCAAATGAAAATGGTCTCTTCGCTCTAGCGAGTTTCCTGTGTTTTTCCCAGGAGCTGAGCATCCCGAACGTCGAGGTAAACGTAGTTTTATACAAGAAAGTGTGTTATCGAACTGGACAGTTTCAGTGGCCCATGGGACGTTGTACATCGATACGGTGTGTAGCTTTCTCTCAATTAAAAACCATCCTCATGCTGATAAATATTATGTTTTTTGTTTTTCTTCAGGCGTAACACCCGAGGATCAAGGTAAGAATTTACTAAAATCTTGGGGTATCTCATCGTCTTCTTTTTTAGTGAACCAATTACGTGAGCCTGACATGACCACGTGTCAGCAACAGCCCCGGGAGCACTGGCACACGGCTAGTGCTGGGTATTCAGTTAGCGCCAGGCACTGGGCGGGCACTGGGCACTCAGCGCCAGGTACACAGTCCCCTGAGCTGCAGCTGCCCCTCTGCTCCGCCTCCCTCTGGACAAGCCCACCCAGTGGATCCTCTGGGCACCTCCGCCCATGGAGTAACTTCCTCCTTCTTTAACCTCGCCCCAGAAACCACAGCAGCTCCCAAGAGGAAACAGCAGCGTGTTTTCATTACAGGTGTTTTCTTACCGCCTTAGATCAGTTAGATAACCCGAAATCCGCCCACTCTTGGGGCCACCTTTTCCTTCGTCACAAGTGACTTGAGTCCCCAGGCCACATAGTGCTGCAGGTCCCGGCCCCAGGATTGCCTGCGGTGCTGCCTGGCTCAGGGCCGCCCAGCTCTAAACCCGTCCCCACCGTGTGACTGCACCCCGGGCCGGGGCACTGCTCTTCTGCTTCTGCCAGCTTTCAAAGATTAAGACAGATTTCTCGCCCTCTGTCTCTCCTGCGAGTGCATGTGCCCTAGAGCATAAATCTCTCTTTTAAAAGAAGGTTTATTCCTTCATTTATTCCGCAGCATGGGAGGAGCGCAGCCCTGACAGGGTCTTCACGCTGCCATCCCCCCCACTCCCCCTGCCAGCCCAGCAGGGCAGATCACTGGCCCGCGGTTCACCTACCTGGGTGTATGCTAGGAGGAACGGGGTTCCAAACCTGGGGCCTTCCCTGGGTGGGTCCAGATGGTCACCACTATGCCACTCCTGGCCATCTGTGTGCATCCTTATCCAGTGCGTGCGGTTACTTTGTGAGCACAATTTTTTTTTTTTTTTTGCCATAGGACACATGCACTAGCCAGAGAGAGACGGAGAGAGGGAGAGTGAGAAATCGCCCCCAGGGGATGGCCACACCATAGTCCCCTCTCCTCCCTTCTCTGGGGACTTTGGGCACACGCAAGCCCAGTGTGCCTTTCCAGTCACTGGGTCTGGCCCCAGCGTCTTGACCACACGCCACCTGCTGGCCCAAGTTTTAGTGCATGCCGCTCACTGTGGACACGGCATTCAGCACCGGACCCTCCTTTCTCGTCACAGGTGAAGCAGAGCTGCTGAGCCCCGGGATGGACGCAGGTGAGTGGCGTCCTCACTCGCACGCCGGGCGTGCTGCGTGTGTGGGCGTGTCACGAGGCAGCAACGGCCAGCCGGTATCCATCCCAGTGGCATTATTCTTCTCCTTTTCCTGTCCCTTTGGGGGAGGCGAGCACAAGCCATCCCGAGAACTGCCCTGAAAGCAGGTGAGCGCAGGACTGATTCTGAAGGAAGAGGGGCACCAAGTCCCCCACACCCCGTCCTACCTGGCCAGACGCGTCAGCTCAGTGTGGCCAAGGTAGCCCGATGCCAAGCCTGGCCCATGGCAAACATTTTGAAACAGAAAAGTTACAGATGTTGGGACTAGCCTGTTCATTCGCAATGTTTAAACCAGGGCAGCAGGTCTGTACCCTGGCCAGTGTGTATAAGAGCAGATCTGATGAAGTTTTAAATTCCGGGGGGACCAGGAGATGGCTAGTGGTTATGTTGCTGGACTCTCATGTCAGCGACCATGGCTCAAGTCCTGGACCAGGAGGCTTAAACTCACACCAGGCACATGTGCATGTGTGCCCAAAATCCCAAAAGGAAAATGGGGGAGAAGGGATTGTGACATGGACACCCTTCCTGGGGGGTGATTTCTCACTTTCTGCCTCTCTGTCTCTCTCTGCCTTTGCAGCAAGAGCATGCACCCTATAGCAAAAAGCAAATAAACAAACAAAAACTCTTTAAAAAGTTTGGGGAGACGGGCGGGTAGGGCTTTCAGGGCAGACCCGTGTGTGTCAGGCCCTGACTTGTTACTTATTAACTGTGTAATCAGAGGTGAGCAACAGAACCTCAAACATCGACTCGGAATGAAGTGGCTCCCTGCTCCAGACGGGGTTTTCTGCTTGGATATTTTTTGTCATATAGCGCATGTGTTCGCCAGAGACAGAGATAGGGTATGTGAGAAATCACCCCCCGGGGGATGGCCATACTGTAGTCCCTTCTCCTTTCTCCTGGGATTTTGGGCAGGCATGCACATGTGCCTGGCATAATTTTCAACCCACTGGGTCTGGGGTTCAAACCACACTCAGCCAGCCATGTGGGAGTCCAGTGCCTTAACCACTATGCCACCTGCTGACCCGTCACTTAAGAGGGTTTTTTTTTTTTTTTTTGAAGTTTATTTATTTATTTAGTTTGTTTGTTTTGGTTTTTTGGGGGGAGAATTTTTTGTTATAGGGCGCATGCACTTGCCAGAAAGACAGAGAGAGACGGAGAGACAGAAAGTGAGAAATCCCCCCCCAGGGGGGATGGCCATGCCACAACCCCTTCTCCTCCATTCTCCTCTCAGGATATTGGGCACGCACGCACGCGTGCCCGGCATGAGTTTAAGCCACTGGGTCTGGGACTTGAACAGTGGTCAACTACATGGGAGTACAACATAGCCATTACACCAGCTGCTGGTCCCTTTTATATTTTATTTTTAAGAGGTTTTTGCCTTAGGATGCATGTGCTTGCTGGAGAGACAGAGAAACAGTGAGAGGGAAAGTGAGAAATCACCCCCCCAGGGGGATGGCCACCCCGCAGTCCCTCCTCCTCCATCTCCTGCTGGGATCTTGGGCACACATGCACACGTACCTGGCATGAGTTTCAACCCACCAGGTCCAGGACTCGAACAGCGGTTAGCCATGTGCAAGTCCAGAGACATGACCCCTGCATTGTCTGCTGGCCCTAAAGTTTATGTATTTTACTCACAATAGAGAGTACACGTGCAGAGAGGGAGGGAGATGCCTCACAGAGTCTCTTCTCACTGCGGTCCTGTTTCCTCAGCCCTCCATGTCCTCAGGCTGAGCCTGTGCACATGCCCAGTGTGTTTTCAGGCTGGCCCAGAGAATCAAAGCCATGGTTGGCCATGTGGCTTCTGCCCTGCAGTTCAGTTTGCTGCCAACTGCCACCAGGCTGGGCCCTGTTCTAGAGTTTTCTTTTTAATTAAAGAATTATCTATTTAATTTTATTCGTTATCACTACTTTAAATTTGCTAGACGGCATGCACACTCACCAGAGAGCGGCAGAAGTGGGGAGGGGGGAGAAAGCCAGCTGCCAGGTCTAGGACTCGAACCACAGTCAGCCATGTGGAAGTTCAGTGCCTCAACCACCATGCCACCTGCTGGCCCCAAGACAGGTTTTTAAATTAAGTCCATGGAAGACTCCCTTCCAATTGCCAGGCCCCAAAATAAACTAACAACTTCTAAAACTTAAGCAGCAAACGAAAGATCTAGAGTTCGGAGCTATGGATGTCAATCAGAAGGGAGTTCCACCAGGCCTCTACGTTTCTGCTCTGCAAACCTCCTGCTCAGAGACTGCCACGCTGCCCCAGACCTCAGTGGGCTAGGTCCCTCTTCTCTTTTCACATTTTATTTATCATGATTACTGCTTCTTAGTTTGCTACAGGGCTCGTGCACTCACCAGAGAGAGACAGAGAGAAGGGGAAAGTGAGAAAGCAAGCCACCAGGCTCGGGACTCAAACTACGGTCAGCCATGTGCTAGTCCAGCACCATGTCACCTGCTGGCCCCAGTCCCTCTTCTCTTAAAGGTCAAAGCACAAACTTAAGATTGTCCGTCATACTCTCCTAACCCAGATCTTGGGACAGGTGACACACAGACACCCCTCTGCCACACTTAGCCACACCGTCTCTCCTCCGGGCCTGCTCCTTGCTAAGCCCAGACGGCTGCCCGTGACATGCATGTCCCTTTCTCACCTGGAGCTGAGAGGCAAGTTACAGCCTCGCCAGGACATGGTGAGACGGAGAGAGAGCAGGGACCCTCCACCTGGTGCTTCTCAGTCAGCTGGCTCTGCCTGCACCACACCTGGGGCCCTGGACAGGGGGCGCCACACGGGCCTCGGCCACAAGGCCCCACCTGTTGCTGACCCGCCAGCCCAGGCTCCCTGCACGTCCCCACCCGGGACCCCCATGATGAAGAACTGAGGCCCCCTGTAGAATGTTCCACGTAGCTCAGACACACGGGTTAATGTGGTCAGCAATGACACGAGAGGCACTCTGGATAAACCGCCTCTCGAAGGTACTGATAAAAATGGAGGGTCAGCCCCATAGCCTAGGGCTTAAGGGAGCCTGCTCCCACGTGGCTGACTGTGGTTCAAACCCCAGCCCTGGCGGCTTGAAAACCACATTGGATGGGTGTTTATGGCTCAGATCCGGGCGAAGTGGGAAGGGGTCCCACCGGGCGATGCTGCTTTTTCTCTCTCCCTCTCTGTCCCCTGGCGAGTGCACACACCCTCTGATGATTGGAAATGAAAATTTAAGTAAAGACTACGAGAGTAAGAAGGTAAAGCCCATGCTGTCAGGTACCCCATGCTTTCAGAGTGGGCCTGCCGTGCCGCCCACGAGGGGAGTGCAGAGTCTGGGAACGTGGAACTGAGGCACAGGTTCCTTTTGGCACGTATGACGTCGAGGCTCCCGCATGGCTGTTTTAGAGAAGGCGTGTTCCTTGAGGGTCTCTAAGAGCCTTGTAGCAATGCCTGGACAGGGCCCCTGGGCTGCTCGAGGCTGGAAATGCTTGCCCCTTAGCCAGGTTCTTGTGCCTCTCGCCACCTCCAGGCAGGCTCAGAGCATCTAGTTAACAGTGAGCCGCGGGACCAGCAGTTGGCGTAATGGCTGTGTCGCCGGACTCCCACGGAGCCGACTCCCACGTAGTTCGTGTCCCGGACCCGGTGGCTTAAAACTCACACCGGGTGCGTGTGCGTGCGTGCTCAAGATCCCGAGAGGAGAATGGAGGAGAAGGGATTGCGGCGTGGCCATCCCCCCTGGGGGGTGATTTCTTGCTTGCTGTCTCCCTGTCTCTCTCTGTCTGTCTGGTGAGCGCACGCACCCTATAGCGAAAACCTCTCAAAAAACAAACAACAACAAAAAAAAGCCAGTGAGCTTGAATTGTAAACCCAGTCACCCGTGCCGCTGAGTGGCCAGATGAGTCCTTGCCACTCGGGCCTGCTCTGCCCTGGCTGGCAGGGGCTCCCCACCTGGATCCCCTGAGGGTCTGGCGGGCAGTGGGGGTTCAGAACAGTAACAGCACGCTCTCCTCCCTCCTCGAAGAAAGGAAACGGATCAAGTCGCTGTTGCCCGTGCTCTCCTGCGGGGTGAAGACCAGCAGGCAGGCCCGCAGGAAGCGCGTGGTGGGCGGGAAGCCGGCACGAGTGGTAAGGCTGCGGGAGCCGCGAGCCGCCCGGAGGGGTCCGAGCGGGGAAAATCCACGGCGCTGATGTGGTCCTGGAGCTGGCGCCTCCCAACGCCAGAGTCCTGGGGCCACTGTCCGGGTATCTGCCTGGTGGCCCACGGTGATGCCCAGTGTCTTCCCAGGGGGACTTCCCGTGGCAGGTGGCGATTAAGGACGACAGCAAAATCACGTGCGGGGGCATCTACATCGGCGGCTGCTGGGTGCTGACGGCCGCGCCCTGCGTCAGGTAAGGAGCCCTGGGCAGGCAGGGCTCCCGAAGGCAGGGCGCCAGCCAGGCAGGAGGAACCGGGGCCATGCTGCCAGGGCGGGAGGCCCCTCCGGAGCAGGA